TGTGAGCCACCATGTGGTTGCTGGGAACTGAACTCAGGACCTTTGGAAGAGCAGGCAATGCTCTTAACCTTTGAGCCATCTCTCCAGCCCCCAATACTCTTAATTCTTGAACCATTTCTCCAACCTCCTTTTTTTTTAAAAAAAAAATATTTATTTATTTATTATGTATACAATATTCTGTCTGTGTGTATGCCCGACAGCCAGAAGAGGGCGCCAGACCCCCTTACAGATGGTTGTGAGCCACCATGTGGTTGCTGGGAACTGAACTCAGGACCCTTGGAAGAGCAGGCAATGCCCTCAACCACTGAGCCATCTCTCCAGCCCCTCTCCAACCTCCTTGATGAGGATATTTAAGAAGAAACTTTCAGGCCAGTAAGATGGCTCCGTGGGTAAAGGCATGGGGGCCACCAAGACTAACAACCAAAATCCAAGCCCCAGGACCTAGAAAGTAGAAGGAGAGAACTAACTTCTGTGAGCTGTCTTCTGACCCCACATAAGTGTCTAAACTGGATGAGAAATAGATAGATTTATTTTTCCAATGGGCATGAAAAGGTCACACAAAGCCTGATTCTTCTCAACTGCTATGTCTGAAAACACCTACTTCCCAGGCTTGGCTTTTGACATACAGTGGGCGTGTTCGGTGCAAAAGGCACATGGATCAGATCAGCCTTCTGAGTGCTTGGCCAAGCTCCGCTCACTCCTTCGCTGTGTGTGAGTGGACTCTGGCCAGGTTGTCCACAGGCTCAGGCTGGATTATGGGCATATACTGCCTGCCCTATCCACCTCTGGGTCTTGAAATATCTGGGGGAGGTGTCCCTCAGCCCATGGCTCTTTTCCTCCAATTAGTATGAGAGGAAGAGAACTCTTCTCCACGGAGGGGGTCGCCACCTGGTCTTTCTAATAAGCTTTGTCCTGAGATCCAAAAAGGTGACTTGAAATATTTGTCCCAATGGCATCTGGGCGTCCTGAAAAAAGTCTCACCTGTGATTCGGGTTGGCCCAGGGCAGCCACGTGGAGATCTCTATGAACCAAAGCCACAGGCCCCACCGCCCCAGGGCCAAAAGAGGCCAGAAGGGGGAATAATAGTAGTTGGTTCTGGGTTACCTGAGAGACTTGGAGGCGCAGAAAGGGCTCCAGGGAGAAGAATGAGAAAGAAGCCAGGTGGGAAGAGGAGGGTCTGCAGAGTGGGGGTCAAGCAGAAAGCTCGCTCAGAGAGAGGGGACACACACAGAGGCCAGCCACGCAGGACTGGGCGGAGGGGCGGCGCCGCGGGGGGACGGGCGCGGGGCGGGGCGGCGCTGTCATTGCGAGCAGCGAGCGGAATGCAGCGGCCGGAGGCCTGGCCACGTCCGCACCCGGGGGAGGGGGCCTCGGCCGCCCAAGCCGGGGGCGCAGCGCCGCCCACCCGAGCCACAGAACTGCGGGTACGGAGCTTGGGGTGCTGGGTCCCCGGGCGGCAGGGTTGGAGTCGGGGGCAGCCGACTTGCCTCGGGCTCCCGAGCTGGGAACTTTGTGCCACCACTGCCCAGCCCCGGAGAGGGAGCCCGGGCCCGGGGAGGGGAGGAAAAGTTTGTCCTGGAGCGCACGGAGGGGTGAGGAGGCCTGACTTGAGTGGAGTGTCGCGGGGCTGAAGTTCTGGGGGAACTCACAGCAGTGCTAGGGACTGACTGGGGTGACGGGGTTGGGGGTGAGATTCTGGCGGGACGAGGGAAGAGTGGGAGTGGCGAGGTGGTCTGGTTGGGCTCCCTTGCTCCAGGGTGATGGCCGCGCTTCTGGAGCTTGGGGTCAGCTGCACACACGGAGGCTCGCTCGGCGCCGCTGTTCCCCGGGCCCAGGTTCTGTGATACACTCCGACTCGGGCTCTGGAGCAGTCAGTGCATGACAGAACTTGGGCCCGGTAGGACTTTCTGCACCCGCTCCTCGGATCTGCAGTGGAACATCTGCCTGGGAGTAGAGTGGGCACCGGAAATGGTCCATGTGGCACAGGGTTGGGCTGGAACCAGCTGTGGATTGGGGGATCGCTGACTCCAGAGAGCCCACGATACGGGTCCACTTTGAGTCAGAGGTTCCTTTCCTGTGTCAGTTTCAGGAACCTTCTCTCTACACCATCAAGGCTGTCTTCATCCTAGATAACGATGGGCGAAGGCTGCTGGCCAAGGTAACCCCCTCATCACAGAAACCCTGAAGACAGTGCCACACGTCCAAGACAAGCGGTCCCCACCCAGCCCATTTAACTCCTTTAGGAGAAACTGCTTTCTGGATGGCAGAGCAGCCCAACCTAGATTCTCTAGAAGTCACTCTGTCCACGCTATGCCTTATCAGTCTGACAGCTGGCGGGGAAGAGGGGCATCCCCTCTGCCTCTACTGTGTTTCCTGACGTGGTTTCGTGTCTTCTCGCTGTTCTTGCTCTGGCCAGCTGCACCCTGGGGTGAGCTTGAGAAGCTCCATCAAAGGGATCAGTGGAGAGATGAGCTGGGACCTAGGAGTCCCCGTCCCTGAACTGGAGACAAGCGACCTGTGTGCTTTTGTATTTCAGCTTGGTAGACACGAAGGGTCTAGCATGAGTATTTAGACTTAGGTGGTATTTGCGAGGCCCTGACGTCCCACTCTCTGGCTTCACAGATGCGGGAAATGAAGCGCAGAGAAACGAAACAGGTTGCCCGAGGTCACAGGGTTACTGTCATAACTGACAGGCAGACTCGGGGGCTTGGAGTTGAGGCTTTCATGGAACTCTCCTTCTGTTATCTGGCGTCCATCCTACATGGCCTGGGTGAGATGAGCTAAAACTAAATTTGAAGCAAAGTCTCAGGGTGGGCCAGATGGCTCAGGGAATAAGGACACTTGTCTGTCATCAAGCCTACAGCTTGAGTTGGATCCTGAATTCACTATGGACGGAACAAGTTCCATCAGGTTGTCCTTTGACTTCTCCATACCTGCCCCCTCACAAATATGCACACACACACACACACACTCGCACTCAACTAAATAAATGTTTTAAAAAAGAGGAAAAAAAAAACTTTAGAAAGAAAAATGCCCTAAAACTCCTGCCACTGAAGGCCAGACAGTGGCACACACCCTTTAATCCCAGCACTCAGGAGGCAGAGGCAGGCTGATCTCTATGAATTTGAGGCCAGCCTGGTCTACAAAGTCAGTTCCAGGATAGCCAGGGATACATAATGAGACCTGTCTCAAAAACAAACCAATTCCAATAAATAAATGAGAGATAGATAATATTCTTGCCACTGATTAACTGTGCAGAAATCTAATCCTTTTATTTTGTTTTGTTTTGTTGTGGACCAGGTTGTCCTTAAACTTGTCTTGCTTCTTCCTTTGCCTCTTGAGTGCTGAGATCACAGGCAAGCATATAACATCTTGCCCTAACTTTTTTGTTTGTTTGTTTTTCTTTTCTTTCCTTTCTTTTCTTTTTTTGTTTGTTTTGTTTTTTCAAGACAGGGTTTCTCTGTGTAGCCCTGGCTCTCCTGGAACTCACTCTGTAGACCAGTCTAGACTCAAAAACTTGAAAATTCACTGGAATTAACTAGACTCCTGGATATTTTTGTTTGTCTATTTTGTTTTTTGAAACAGGGACTCACACTATAACCAAGGATGGCTTGGAATTTACTGTGTGGCCCAGGCTAGCCTGGAAGTCACAGTGATCCTGCCTCAGCTTCCTAAATGCTAAGACTATTTGGTTAGCCATACTTTTTTTTTTTTTTTTTTGAGACAGGGTCTTATGTAGTCAAGGCTGGCCCAGAACTCCTGATCTTCCTACTTCTTTCTTGGTGCTGGAATTCCAGGTATATGCCACTACACCCAGATAGAACATCTAAACTAGATATGAAATATAGTAAAGCTTTTTCATTTGTTGGAACTGAAACTTAGTCTTTATAACATTCACCTTGGTAGAAGCAAGCAGAGAATCTGCTAACTTAGCTGAAGGATTAACTACTGAAAATTCACATTCAGAAAATTGAGCTAAACACACCTTGCTTTAGCAGATGGGTAGAGATGGACTGGCATTGCTAAAGCCTCTGGGGCCTCCTGCTAGAAGATCCTATCCTTGTTATATGTTAAGAAATTGAGGATAAGCCGGTGGTGGTGGCGCATGCCTTTCATCCCAACACTCAGGAGGCAGAGGCAGATAGATCTCTGTGAGTTCAAGGCCAACCTGACCAACAGACTCAGTTCTAGGAGAGCCAGGGCTGCACAGAGAAACCATGTCTAAAAAAATAGGGGGGGGGGGCTGGAGAGATGGCTCAGTGGTTAAGAGCATTGCCTGCTCTTCCAAAGGTCGTGAGTTCAATTCCCGGCAACCACATGGTGGCTCACAACCATCTGAAATGAGATTTGATGCCCTCTTCTGGCCTGCAGGCAGACACACAGACAGAATATTGTATACATAATAAGTAAATGTTTAAAAAAATAATTAAAAATAAATAAAGAAAATGAGGCTAGCCTGGTCTACATATAGCAGGTCAGCTGGCTGGCACAATGAGACTCTGCTTTGAAAATAACTGAGGCAGGCCCTGAGAATGTAGGTAGTGGAAACGCATTTACTTACCTAGCATGCATAAGGTCCTGGGTTCCATTGCCAGACCTCAAGAAAATGAAAGAAGGAAGGAGGGAGGGAAGGAGGGAGGGAGGAGAGAGGAAGGGAGAGAGGGAAGGAAGGAAGGAAGGAAGGAAGGAAGGAAGGAAGGAAGGAAGGAAGGAAGGAGGGAAGAAAGATTTGGGAAAGCGAGAACAAGCTGGGATGCAGCTCAGTGGTGGACCCGTTGCTAGCACGGGTGAAGTCCTGGTTTGCAGCCCCAGCACTGCTGGAGGAAAGAAGGGGAAGGTGAGAGGAAGAAAGGGAGAAAGGGAAGAAGGAAGGAGAGAGAGAGGAAGGGGGGAGAAAGAGGAAGGAGAGAAGGGAGAGAGGAAGAAAATCAAACAAAGACTTCAAAGGCAGCCCCAATATTTCTCTACTTTGTTTTTTGTTTGTTGCGTGGAATTTGTTTATAGGGGCCTGGAAACAGAAAGGGCCTGGAGGGAGGTGACAAGGAGGTGCAGCTTAGCCAGCCCTAACCTCCCTGCTACACCCCTTTCACAGCTGGAGCTAGCTCTGTGCAAGGGCTATGGGCCGTTCTCCTTCTCTTTCTCACAGTATTATGACGACACATTTCCCTCCATGAAGGAGCAGATGGTTTTCGAGAAAAACGTCTTCAACAAGACCAGCCGCGCTGAAAGTAATGCCTGCCCTTCCTCCTCTGGAACTCCCAGATAACTGACCACCAGTGTCTGGCATCTTCTCCATCTGAACACATCTGTCCTTGCCTGCCTTCCACACCCACAGCCCCTTCTCCTCTGAGGCTCTTTGTCCTCTCTTCCTTTCATCCCGGGGCCTTTACTCCCCATCACTCTCACCCCCACCCCCCTCTTGGTTGAGGAGACCAACTGTGCTGTGACCCCCGCTACACACACACACACACACACACACACACACACACTTGACCTGGTCCCAGGGCCTTGCATGGGATGGAGAGTGGGTGGGAGGTCCACTGCAGGCTGGGTGTGTTGACCACTCAACAGGAGGGATGGGACCAAGGACACCCAGAGCGGCCTCCTGGTAGTGGTGGTCTGTCTAGAGGTCCTTGGGAAAGGAAGTGGGAAGCAAAAGGAGAGGCAAGGGGAGTGGAGACCAGGCTAGCCCCAGGCTGGGGTCGGGGTCTGCCAATTTGAAAGCTTTCCTCCTTCTAGGTGAGATCGCATTTTTCGGGGGCATGACCATCGTCTACAAGAGCAGCATTGACCTCCTCCTGTATGTGGTGGGCTCTTCCTCTGAGAACGAGGTGAATCTAGAATGCTGGGTGACAAAGGAGGGTCTGTCCTGGGGTGGAGGTGGGCTCTGGATGCTCCCGTTGCTCTCCTCCCTTTAGGATCTGGAGGTGGAAGGGCAGCCAGAATGGGTCTCCTTAGGTCCCCTGGGGACCAGAAATGGATCATCGCACCTTCTGTAGCTGTTAGTTCTTCCTAAACATATTTAGAGAAGGAGACACCCAGTATGTCTTCCAAGGGAGCACTCCAGTGTCCCCCAGCTCAAACCTAAGGGGAATTCCTCCCTTGAGTCAAAGTGCAGCTAACCTCCAGCCAAGCCCTCTCTGACAAGGGAGTGCTCCCGCCCTCCTGCGGGGCCCACACTGGGAGCTCAGGGGCCTGCTTTGGGCCTCTCAGCTTCAGCTCTCTTCTTCCTCCCACACCCTCCTCCTCCTCAGCTGATGCTCATGTCTGTTCTGGCCTGCCTGTTTGACTCTCTGAGCCACATCCTAAGGTAAGTGAGAGTCTCTGCACCCCAGGGCCGCAGCCCCCAGGCCTTTCTCTTTGTCCCAGAAGCAAGGCTCTTCCGCCCTGCTGTCTTCCCTGGGACTCTCGGTCTTAGAACTGGAGTGGCTTCCTGCAAGGCCCCTGATGTCTGTGGTGTCCCAGGCAGAGCCATGCACAGGGGATGATCAGATATCAGCTCTCAAGACACTGAGTTACCTGAGGTCACAGAACTCAAAGCAGTTCAACACAGGGAGAGAGGGAGAGAGAGGGAGAGAGAGAGGAAAGTCTGGTTACAGAGCCACACTGGCCTCCCACTCGGCCCTCCTTCCTCAGTCTCCTGTGTGCTGGGATTACAGGTGTCTACCACCACGGCCCGCTATAAACAGGATTTCTAACTTTAAGCTCAGAGTCGGTTTCCCTGCATCCCCATCAGTACTGGTCCTTAGGCCAGGAACACAGCCTAGAACTAGTGTGGGTCGCGACCCCTCTCACAGGAGTCCAGTGTTGGATGTTTACGTTATGATTCCTAACAGTAGCAAATTACAGTTATCAAGGAACAAAACGATTTTATGGTTGGGGGTCCCCACAACATGAGGAACTGTACGGAAGGGTCGCAGCATTAAGAAGGTGGAGGGAGACCCACTGAACCAACCAACCTACGATGGCCGCCTGCTCTGTGCTCAGAGTCCCTGGCACCGGCTCTGCCCCCACTGCCCGGTATCCTCCTGCCCAGGTCTTGTTGGGGAGGGCCTGGAGGCTCAGGCGCTTGTGTCTGCCCACAGGAAGAACGTGGAGAAACGCTGGCTGCTGGAGAACATGGATGGAGCCTTCTTGGTGCTGGATGAAATCGTAGATGGCGGGTGAGGAGGAGACAGAGAGAAGAGATGTTGATACTCACAATGACCTTTGTGGACTCAGTGCTGGGAGCACTCCGGTCAGCTCTCTGGCCAACTCATCCTCCCTTCTCCCACATATTCCTACCAGGCCCCCAAACCTTCTTCCCTTATCATGATTAGCCAAAGTCAAGCCAAAGCGGGGGTAGCCTGCTAGCCACCTGCAGCAGGCAGCTGTATAGGTCGAGTTTGGGGACATCCAGGTTGATCTCCAGGGCTGAGGAAGAATAAAGACATCTGTCCCTTTTCGAAAGGTCCTCAGCCAGAGTGTCCCCGCCAATGCCAGCTGGATTCACGTGACACTGACTCTCCTTTCCCCATCTCTAAAATGGGGCTAAAAGGAAGCTGTCACACACAGAGCCCATCGCTCCCATTGCTCATTTGAGGATTCTTTTTGTCTTTTTCCTCAGTAAATATTGCCTCTCATTAGTAAGCTGGCAGACTTACTAATTAATAAGTAATAAGACTTACTGATAAGAAAAGTTGGTTAGTAGGATTCCGCGAAGAGGGGACAATAATCAGGGAAGAAAAGAGGTCTGATTCTGGGGTAAATGGTAGCAGCAACTTCTCGAGCGTCCTCCCACCCCTTGCCCTCTTGCCTCAATGCTGGAGGTGCAGCGATTGTAGCGTCTTTGAAACATCTGCCCTTTTTACAGAGGAGGAAACAGAGGCTCAGAGATTCTAGTAACTTATCCAAGGACATACACCAAAGGGATTAGAAGGGTGAAGATCTAAAACCATGCTCATGACATCTTTCAGAGGCTGTGTTCTTTCCATGGTACTGTACCACCCAACTTGAGGGCAGGGACCTCTGGGAGGTGGGGCCCTGAGACTGCCTCCCTCTGCCGTCGGTTTGTATTAACTACCTGCTATTGCTTGGTGGTGTGCTGATGGCTGGGTTGTAAACCTGAGAAGACCTAGCCCCCCCTCACAGCGTCTACTCAGCTCGACCGGGCTGTCCTTTTTTCAATTGTATTATTATTATTATTATTACATTTTTTGTTTGTTTGTTTGTTTGTTTTGTGTTTTCGAGACAGGGTTTCTCTGTAGCTTTGCAGCCTGCCCTGGAACTAGCTCTTTTAACCCAGGCTGGCCTCGAACTCACAGAGTGCGTGCGCCACCACCGCCTGGCTAAATTTTTGTCTATTTATTTGATCTTGGATCGCTGTGTGTGCCACAGTGTGGAGGTCAGAGGACAGCTGCTCCTTCCACCACGTGGGTTCTGGGGATCACGCTCAGGTTGTCAGGTTTGGTGGCAGGCACCTTTAACTCTTGTGCCGTCTCACAGGACCCTCAGCTGAATATTTGCCCAGAGATGATCATGGAGGTGGACCAGAGGGAGCAGAGCTGAGAGTCCCCCAGGGGGAGGGAGGCGTGTGACTCCAGGACCACCTGTGGGAAGGTTCCCCAGAGGAGAGACACTATAGGATATATTAAAAACCGGAAAGTGGCTTGTCGGAGGGGGATCACATCACCAACCTGCCCCCCAATTTTCTTTGATCTTGTAGTGTGATCCTGGAGAGTGACCCCCAGCAAGTGATCCAGAAAGTGAATTTTAGGGTAAGCCTTCCTGTACCCCACCCCTATCTTTTCCAGGCTGCCTTTCCTGTCCCCTCTCTGCTTGTCCTTCCTGGGTACCAGGTTACCAGGGTTAAAGCTGGTGGGAGCCCAGCCACTCAGACTTCACACTTAGGGGAAGTTATTGGTGGCACCTGTGGGGTGTCTGTTGCTAAGAGGAGATCTTCCTGTTCCTGTTCGTTCCTCATAAAAACAAACGAATAAATAACATCTCCTCCCCACCCTCCGGTGAGAAGCTTGAATGGAGCAATAACTGTATCCTCCAGATGACTCCAGGAGGCAGCCCTGGGAACTGGGGACCCACCCTTCTGCTCTGGTTTGGTTTTTCCATGCCTGTTGCCTGGTGACACCTTTCCCTAACGTTAGCTCCCTTTATCAGCCTCCCCGCAGTTTGGTTAAGGATGCAGCTCAGTGCTAGAAAGAACACTTGGCTAGCATGTGTGAGGTCCCGAGTTTAATCCCCAGCAATGGAGGTTGGGGTAACAGAGGTCCTGGCATCTAAATCACAGGCTGTAGGACCTCTGTCTGCTAAGCAGAGACAGAGGTGCCGGTCCGGGTCATGTAACTGCTGCACCCCTCGCCCTGCAAGCCGTCACCTCTCTGACTCAACAAGTCCTCTCTTTCCTGACTGTGACTTTCCTTCCCCACAGACTGATGACGCTGGCCTAACAGAACAGAGTGTGGCCCAGGTAAGCCTCATGCATCTGCCTTGGCCAGAAGCAGGCCAGAGGACATGGAGAGCCCAGGGTTGCAGGGGAGACAGAGTTAAGAGAGACCAGAGGTGTGGGACAGAAGGGATGAGCTGATGACTGACGTGTGTGTGTGTGTGTGTGTGTGTGTGTGTGTCCTGGTTACTATCCACAGATTGGATCTCCAGGCTCACAGACTTCCTGCTAGTCAAGCCAAATGGTTTGACCTCAGTTCTGGCCATCTGCAGGTCTGTCTGATAAGACTTACTATGTCCAAGGAGTTTCATTCCCTGGCATGAACTAGTCCTAATGAGTCCCTGTGAGATGAGTTTGTGGCACCAGGTGCGATGCCCACTGTCCTACACTACTCTCCTCAACCCGTCTGCCCTCTGGTCCCCCATGTTTCCTCATGTTCTGCTGGGAAAAAATGTGGCTGCCTGGTGGTTTTCAGGGTGGAAGGAGGTTGGAAGAGAATGGTTCACACCTATAATCTCAGCACTCTGAAGGCAGAGGCCTGAGGATCTCAAATTCAAGGTCAGCCTGAGCTACACAGTGATTTCCGGGCTCTAGCCAGGGCCGTAGATGAGACTTTATCCAAAATAAAATAAAGAAATAGACCAACTAGACATGGTGGTTCACACCTATAATCCCAGCACTTGGGAGGTGGAGGCCATAGGATCAGGAGTTCAAAGTCAAGTTTGAGCCCCGAGTGATTGCCATGTGTCTGAAAAATACAAAAATAAATAAATAAGTAGCAAGTAAAGGCACTTGCCTTCGCCTGCTGAGCTGGGTTTGATTGCTGCGATAGAGAGCTGACTCCCCACAAGGTGTTTGCTGACCTCTACAAAAGCACACTAAAGTAAATAAATGCAAGAAACATTAAACATTCTAAAAGGGGGGGGGGTGTTACTGAGCAGAGCAAACACGAGTGCCAGTTGTTGGGCAGAGCTAAAGAGACAGCTCAGTGGTTAGGAGCACTTACTGCTCTTGAAGAGACTTTTTTTTTTTTTGGTTGTTTTTTTGTTTTTTGAAGCAAGGTTTCTCTGTGTAACCCTGGCTGTCCTGGAACTCACTCTGTAGACCAGACTGGCCTGGCCTCGAACTCAGATTTGCCTGCCTCTGCCTCTCAAGTGCTGGAATTAAAGTTGTGCACCACCACCGCCTGGTGACACACATACAATTCTTTAAAAGATGAAGAAGCCATGAGTGGGCCTGGTGATGTAGAGCGCTCGCTCACCATGCACAGAGCCCTGGGCGATCCCCACACTTCCCAGCACCCGCACGGTGGTGCAGGCTTATCATTCCAGTGCCTCAGATTTGGATCAAAGAAGGAGCATGACCCTGTTCCAAAAACAAACCAACAACGATAACAAAAAGAAAATGCATTCATGTGAGTCACCCTACGCTCTTACTCTACCAGCCAAAGTTGAAAGGCAAAGGCAAGTTACTCAGCGTCTCCAGGGCTCCCAGAAGAGGAGAACCCACCTGGTCTAGTTATGTGAATCAGATAGCAGCGAGTGACTAAGGGCCCCCGCTGCCAACCCTGAGGACACAAGGTCAATCCCCACCTGCCTGCGCCTCCCCGATGAGTAAAGGTGTGGATCACCATCACCGTGTTCGGCTCCACGTGTGTGCTGTAGCATTCACACGCACACACGGATACACAACACACACACACACTGATTGTAAAAAACATTTTAAAGAACTAGATGAATCAGTTCATGGATGGGAAGAGCCTAGAATGTTGTCTTACAGTCTCAGGAAATAACTTTCTATTTTTCCAAATGAACGAAGAATGAAGATTGGTATGGTCTTGCTGTGTAGCTCAGGCTGGCCTTGAACTCATCATCCTCCTGCCTCACACTCCCTGGAGCTGAAATCACAGGCGCCACACCTATGTGTTAGGGGACGTCTTAATTAAAAACAAAACTTATAGAGGTGGATATGCAACAAAATGTGGAGGAAGGGGTCCCTGGGAGAGATGGGAGGAGGTCCCTGTCCCCAGGAAGCGGGGAGACCGCAGGAAAGGGACTTATGCAGTGTGGGGTGGACATTTTGGGGGGGAGAAAGGAGACTTCATGCCAGGATGGGGTCTTGATACAGATAAGGGCATACGTTGGACTGAGGTGTTTTTTTTTTCTTGGCAATAGAATCCCACACATCGACAGCTGTTGCCCCATCAGCAAACAGGATGGGGTGCTAGGAACACACCCCAATATTCGTTAAGGTGCTGAATACTTGAGCACCGGCAAGAATGAGGCTGAGCCCAGCCCCTGCCTGATGATGGCACTTCTGTAGCCTGGCATGGATCGGGGAAGGCAGGGTCGAACACCCACACCCATACTTGTACTGACTTGGGTAGCAGTCTTTTCAAGTTTGGCTGCAGTTACCTGGGTTTGCCTGGTCTCCTTAAAACTAAATAGTGGCAAGCTGCTGCCACCTAGTGGCCAGGGCTGGAGAGGCGCCCTGGGCTTCAAAGACCTCCAGTAAAAGGACTGACGTTCTCAACTATTTCTCCCAACATCCTTCCCTCCCTCCCGGCAGGTTCTTCAGTCAGCCAAGGAACAAATTAAATGGTCATTACTAAAATGAAGGCCTTGGAGTCGAGGCTCCCTTCCCAGAGAACCTTTTTCCAGTTCCTTCAAAAGCCTTGAGACCTCAAGGGTCAGGAGAGATCCCTCGGCCTTCTCAGGCCTCTCCCAGAGGTCTTCTGCCAGGGATTCCGAGAAGCAGAAGTTTGGTCCCAGCTCCGTTAACCCTGCTCAGTACCCTGGCCTGCCCCTGGGGCCATGGGAACCAGAAAAGTTTCCTTCCCTCGGACATCAGTCACATTTTCAGCCCTAGGCCTTAATAAACTTTAATTTCTTGCCAAAGATCTCCTTTTTTGGCTTTGTGTGTGTGTGTGTTTGTGTTCAGAGGTGTGTGTGTGTGTTTGTTCAGAGGCGTGTGTGTGTTTGTTTGTGTTCAGAGGTGTATGTGTGTGTGTTTGTGTTCAGAGGCGGGTATGTGTGTTCAGAGGTGTGTGTGTGTGTGTGTGTTTGTGTTCAGAGGTGTATGTGTGTGTGTTTGTGTTCAGAGGTGTGTGTGTTTGTTCAGAGGTGTGTGTGTGTGTTTGTTCAGAGGCGTGTGTGTGTGTTTGTGTTCAGAGGTGTATGTGTGTGTGTTTGTGTTCAGAGGCGGGTGTGTGTGTGTGTGTGTGTGTGTTCAGAGAAGGGCTTCCGCGGTGTGTCTTTTCAGATTTTCAGAGCTACTGGGTGAGCTTTATCTGTGAATGGGGTCATCAGGGCTGGGTTGGGTCAAGGGAAGTATTTAGCACAGGAGGGGTACAATTCTGGTAGCCCGAGGTTCCATGTGTGGTTGAGCGGCTAGATACGACAGTGTGTGGTGGTATTAGTAATAGTGACAGAATAATACTGTCTTCCAGGAAAGGGGAGTGAAGATGGTACCCCCGTTTTGTGTTTGCGTTGCACACAGGATGGCTCCGCTCGGGATTCCTTGAATCATTTTTTCCATTACTAGCTTCCAGAAAGGAAGCGGAGTCGGGCTTACTTTGACAAACTTAGGAATAGTTTGGCTATTTTTCTTGGCGTGCCTGGGACCGCGGAATTTTATCTCGGCATGTATCCTGGGCACTAGAGTCCTATAAACTTGCTGGTTCTATCAGGATCCTGGGGGTGAGGAGGCACCAACTTGTGCCCACTGCGCGTGTGTCCAGAGCATCCGCGCACCTCTTGAGGTCGCGAAGGATTGGGGGGTCCGGAGAGGCGACATAGGAGATTGGGGACAACCCTCAAGGATGGAAATAAATAGACTTTCTGAGCATCCTGATCCCTCTTATCTATCCTAGTCCCAGTCTCTGCACTTTCTCCCGTTCTTTCTCTGATCCTTACGCTTTCCACGTCGCGAACTTTTTCTACAGTAGCGTTGGATCCCTCGAGGGTTTGGGCTGTGGGCTCCCAAGCCCCGCCCCAGCTCCCGCCCCTCACAGGAGCAAAGTGCAGCAGGAAGCTCCGCCCCCGCACGACATCCGTGGTCCTACAGCGCCACCTGGAGGCACCGACGGGCACGCCTCCGGGTCTACGGCCTCGATTAAATTCCTCCCCCGAAGTCGGAAGGACCCTCCTCGCGCGTTTCTTGCAGGTCTCTGACAACAGCGCCGGTGCGTTGCCCTAGCAACCAGCACGTGCGACTCCCCTTCCAACTCAGGGCTTTTTGCCAGCTTCTATAATAAAGATAGTGGTGAGCCTTGGATCTTAATAAAAACCTGTCCCTGTGGTTGTCACATCGGGCCGGGCGTGCAGGACGGGCCTGTAATCTCAGCCTTTGGCAGGCGGAGGCAGAATCACAAATTCAAGGTCATTTTTTTTACTATGCTTTGAATTCGAGACCAACCAAGGTTGCATGAGACACTATAGTAAACAAAACCAAAAAAAAAAAAAAAAAAGCAGACCAGATATTTATACTGTATTTGACTCCATATGTAATTAGAGAACTCGGCGAAGGTACGGAATGTAAATCTTTTCATTTTAAACTCTGACTATACTGTCTTTCCTGAGTCCCTGTGCACACACAGCCCTGAGACACAAAAGGGTAACCCTGGAAGAAGAGCGGGAAAATGGTACAACAATTAAATCGGGGAGTTCAGGGGCCAGTGTGGTGACGGGAAAGAAGTTCTTCAAATACTCAAATATTCTACCACCCGTAGAGCTTGGCTCCAGCCATGGTCCCTAAGCGACCACAGGCCTGGAGCTGTAAACTGCTTCCTGGCAACCTGGCACGGCCCTGCAATTTCAGTTATGCGAGGACGGGAATGGGAAGCGTCAAGCAGGAGCTTCGGGCAAGCTGGCAATTCTCTGAACCGCAAGATGCTGTCCATATTTTATTAAGGAGTACACTGAGTCCCTGGAACTTTCAAGTATACAACAACTTTCACAAAGTCACGCTCTGTGGGGGGACAGGAACGTCCTCACTACCCTAGAATATCTGAATTCCTTTGCTCACGCTTGGACCATACAGGGTGTGGGACACGCAACCCTATAACCTCAGCTCTTGAGAGGTGGAAGCTAGAGAAGCGGAAGTTTTGAGACCAGCCTGAACTACAGACGGGACACCGTCTTTAAAAGAACCCAAACCAAACACGGTCATGGGGTAAGGGCGACAAGAAAGTGTCCCTTCACTTGCTATGGCTAAAGGCTCCCCTGATCCCGTAGGGAAGGTTTGGCAAAGCAGCTGGAATGGGTAGCGCTGAGCTCCCGCAGGGTCGAGGACCCCAAGTCTGCAAGTCCAGCTATTGCATCTCTGGTCCTCTCTCGCTTTCTGCAGCCAAGTGGAGCCACCAATACAGTAGGTCTGGCTGGCAGCCCCGCGCTCTGCCCTCAGCATCAGTTTCCCGAAATGATAGCCTCATCAGCTCTGTCACCGGCAGAAGCCTGAGGGGTTTCGGGAAGGGCGTTCGTGGTTCTGAGCCAGGGCATTCCTTCCCGTGTCTGCTCATCCCAGCCTCCCTTCCGCGTCCCTTCTTGCGGGACGCCCCTCTCCGTGCCCCAGGGGAAGACCCAGCAGCTCCTGAGTGCACTCGGGCAAGGAGCCTTAAGGCCACCCCTTCTCCTGCCACTATTAGCATCTGGTCAGAAACTGAGACCAGCCAGAGGGCCCTGGAGAAATACAAACTCAGGGACTTGGTGCAGGGGAATGCCAGTCATATTTAGACCCTGTCGGCATCTCAGGTGTCTGCGCCTTCCTTCAATCTCCTTTATAATACTTGGAGTCAACTCAGCTCTACCCCACGCCCAACACGCGCGCACGCGCACACACACACACACACACACACACACACACACACACACACATCGGGGGCTATGCTCCTCCTGCCTCCCTCCAATTGGCTGGCAGACGACTGGCGGAGCATGTGGGATTGGTTCTCTGATGGATGATGACTCCCTGATTCCTGATGACTGGACCACTGCTGTCTGGAGGAGTGGGCAGGGGCACAGGGGCTCTTCTCAAGTCTTCACTGATTGGTGGAGACGGAGCCAGCCCGGCCTGGGAGAGGGATGAGCAAAGCTGCCGTAGCCCATCCGGAAGTTCCGACTTTCTTTGCCCTCAAGTCCTTTGAAACTCACTTGATGCGTGACGTGGTTTCTGGAGGGTAGGTGCTACCCTATCCTGGACTACGTAGTAAGACAGTGCCTATCTCAAAACAAGCTAACAAGAGAACTTTATTTATTGTAGGGAGAAATTAATTCTGAGCTCAGGGCTCCTTCACCTCTGGATCCTGGCAACGGGAGGAATTTACTGCACACAACCCTACCGGCTTCTCTTTCCTTCCAACAGGGATCTCATTCATTTCTTCGTTTGTTGACTCAATGTATTCAAATATTTAGGTGTCTGTGATGAACGGGGCACTGGGGAGAAACGAGGGTGCCAGGTCCAAAGAAAGGATTAGATTTGAGGGATATGTCAAGGTATAAATACCTTTTAAAATCCAATCCTGTTCTCTCTGAGTAGTGATGGGAATTCAGGTTCAATACATAACGTGTGTACTTTTTAGTAAGAATTTTCAACAAAAAGTTAAACAAGGGCTGGAGAGATGGCTCAGTGGTTAAGAGCATTGCCTGCTCTTCCAAAGGTCCTGAGTTCTATTCCCGGCAACCACATGGTGGCTCACAACCATCTGTAATGAAGTCTGGTGCCCTCTTCTGGCCTGCAGACATACACACAGACAGAATAATATTGTATACATAATAAATATATAAATTTAAAAAAAAAGTTAAACAAGTAGTTGCCAAATTATATTCTAGCATCACTTGCACGGTCTTCATCTCCTTCATCTTAGACAAGACCCAAAGAAATGAGAGCTCTTCTTAAGGGTGTAGATCTTATTTGTACACACAGATGGCTGTGGTCCCTCCACACAGGCTGTTTGGGGAGAAATAAAAACTGTACTGATCATAATACTAAAGTAAAAATCCTTTTGGAATTATTTTTTTCAACAGCACATTTATTGGATGATGGAAGCTTCTTTTCTAAAAATAAAACATTTTTTTCTTTCTTCTTCTTCTTTTTTTTTTTTTTTTTTTTTTTTTTTTTTTTTTTTTTTTTTTTTTTTTTTTTTTTTTTTTTTTTTTTTTGGTTATTTGTCCTGGAACTTGTTCTGTAAACAAGGCTAGCCCTAGCTGTCCTGGAACTAGCTCTGTAGACCAGGGAGGCCTCGAGCCTCGAACTCGGAGATCCATCTGCCTCTGCCTCTTGAGTACTGGGATTAAAGATGTGTGCCACCACACTTAGCTTGTGTGTGTGTGTGTGTGTGTGTGAGAGAGAGAGAGAATGCATGCCAGGCCATGCCCAGATTGTGTGTGCATGTATGCCATGTGTACGCATACCTTCAGAGGCCAGCAGGGGGTATTTAACGCCCTGGAGCTGAAGTTCCAGGAGATCTGTAAACTGTCAGATCGGGTGTTGGGAATCCAACTCTTGTCCTCTGGAAAAGCACCAAGGGCTCATAACTGACGAGCTATCTCTCCAGCTCCTGATGGGAACTTCGAAAACAAATTAGAAGCACACTTTCGATTTAAGTAGACTCCGGCTTGACTGGGTAGGAAACCGTGCTGTCGGGTAAGGCGTCTATAAACATTCAGAGCAGATCTCGCGGTACACGAGGACGGAAGACATCTGGGGAGAGAGAGACGGCCATGTGTTCTCCAGCTCTCCCGGCTCTAGTTCTGGCCGCAGACCCCGGCCCTGCTTCATTTGTCATTTATTTATTTTTATTTTTATGTGCGTTGGTGTTTTGCCTGCATGTGTATCTGTGTGAAGGTGCTGGATCTCCTGGAGCTGGAGTTACGGACAGTGGCGAGCTGCCATATGGGTGCTGAG